AAAAGATTACTTCAAGAGAAAGATTCTGGAAAAAAAAAAACAGTCAAAAATCCTTGAAATGAAGGCTATAATAAATCAAATAAAAACTCAGTAGAAAGCATAACCATCAGACTAGATCAATTGGAAGAAAGAATATCAGATAATGGAGACAAATTATACAATCTGGAAAATAAAGTTGATCACACAGTGAAGATAGTTAGAAACCATAAACAGAGCATCCAATAATTATGGGACAGCATGAAAAGACCAAATCTAAGAGTTACTGGGATAGAGGAAGGTACAGAGTTTCAAACCAAAGGAATGCACAATCTCATCAATGAGATAATATCAGAAAATTTTCCAAGCATTAAGAACAAATTTTAAAAACAAATACAAGATGCTTACAGGACACCAAATGTACAAAATTACAATCAATCTACACCAAGGTACATTGTAATGAAAATACCTGGGATATAGAATAAGGATAGAATCTTAAAAGCTGCAAGAGAGAGGAATCAGATCACACATAGTGGGAGACAAATTCGAATATCAGCAAATTTTTCAACCCAGACCCTCAAGGCCAGGAGACCATGGAACAACATATACCAAGCTCTGAAAGAAAATTGATGCCAACCAAGAATCTTATATCCAGCAAAACTAAGCTTTAGATTTGATGATGAAATAAAAATATTCCATGATAAACYAAAAGTTAAAAGAGTTTACAACTAGAAAGCCTGCACTACAGAACATCCACAGCAAAATATTCCAAGAAGAGGAAATGAAAAACAATGATGAAAATCAGCAGAGCGAGAGATTACACTAAAGGAAAATCTAATCAGAGGAGATTCCAAGTCGAATTAAGTACCAAAATAAACAAAAATGTCTGGGAATACAAACCATGTCTCAATAATAATACTGAATGTTAATGGCCTAAACTCACCAATCAAAAGACATAGATTAGCAGAGTGGATTAMAAAAAGAAAAAGAAAGACCCAACAATATGCTGCCTCCAAGACACTCATCTCCTAGAAAAACACATCCACAGACTGAAATTGAATGGTTGGAGAAAAACACATCCACAGACTGAAGTTGAATGGTTGGGAAAAATTATAACACTTACATGGGCTGTGGAAGCAAGTAGRGGTTTCCATCCTTATATCAAATAAAGTAGACTTCAAGCTAAAGTCAATCAAAAAGGATAAAGAAGGACACTATATACTGCTGACGGGAACCATATACCAACAAGAATTAACAATTATAAATATATATGCCCCAAACAATGGAGCATCTACATTCATCAAACAAAATCTTCTCAAGTTTAAAAGTCAAATAGATCACAACACAATAATTKTGGGTGACTTTAACACACCTCTTTCATCACTAGATAGATCTTACAAACAAAAGCTGAACAAAGAAACTATAGAACTCAATAATACAATCA